TCAACCTATGGGTCAGTTTGGAGAGAATTTATGTTCTTAACTGTATTGAGTCTTAAAACTCGCAGATGTAATCTGCTCCATTTACCTACCTCTTTGATTGCTCTCTTTCACATTGTATGGTTTTCAGCATACGGATCCTTAATGTTCTGTTATTCCCCCTTTTCTGGTACTATTGCAAATAGTGTGTTTAAAAAGCTTTTGTTTCTAGTTTTCTTATTGCTAGTATATAGAAATATGATTGACTTTTATATGTTGACCTTCTGTGGCCTCAATTTACTCATTATTTCTAGGAGCTTTTGTGCAGATTGCCTGAGATTCTTGTCTTCTCCCTGGTTTTAGAAAGCATTCAGGCTTTCAACATAAAGTGTGAGGTTAGCTATGGGTTTTTGTAAATGCCCTGTATCAGGTTGATGAAGCTCCCTTCTCTTAAAAGTTTACTAAGAGTTGTTTAAAAGTTTACTGATAATTGTCTAAATCAAGAATGGTGTTGAATTTTCTCAAATGTTTTTTCTGTGTCATTTAATATGACCATGTGATTTTCCTTCTTTTGTCTGAGGGATTATATTGATTACAAAAAAAAAAATAATGAGCTTGCATTCCCAGAGTAAGCCTAATTTGCTTGTGTGTATTAGTCTGTTTATGCTGCTGGACTTGATTTTCTAATATTTTGTCGAGCATTTTTGCACCTGGGTTTATGACAGAAAGTGGTCTGTAGTCTTCTTATACTGCTTTTGTTCAGTTTTGGTATCAGTAATTCTGGCCATGTAAAATGAGTTGTCATTTCATGGAAAACAGCTGGCAGTGTTGTTGCCCAGTGATAAAATGTAAGTTTTCAAGTGAAACTTAGAATTTGGAAAACTTCCATTCACTGCCACATGCTTTGACAGCTTTAAAGAGTGTTCTGAAAAGATCATTGTGATATTAATGATGTGATTTCTTTAAACATGGTACATAGACCAGTAGATTCTAATGTAACAGAATATAACCAGTTTATTAATATGATTTTTGATTCTACAGTCTGATTAACTTTTAAGAAACTACCACTTTTCAAGTTTTGGGTATAGTACCAAAGAAGAATGCTTCCCAGGTGGCGCAGTGGTAAAGAATCTGCCTGCCATTACAGGAGATGCGGGTTCAATCCCTGAGTCCAGAAGATCCCCTGAAGGAGGAAATGGCAACCCACCCAGTATTCTTGCCTGGAAAATCCCATGGACAGAAGAGCCTGGTGGGCCACAGTCCATGGGGTCATGACTGAGTACGCACAAGGAGGAGGATCAAAGAAGAATATAACCACAGTTACTTCAGACAGCTAGTAAAATACTCCTGTTTACAGCTCTGAGGCCAGATAGTCTTGATATAAAGAAAACCATTTCTCTGTTCACAGCAAAGCAATGTCTGTCCAAAATCAAGCAGTTCTCCATTCTCATTGGATTGTAACCTAGTGTTCATTCTCACACTACCTGGAGTTAGTGCCGACCCTGCAGGTTAAAGGCTCAGTTCCACAGCATTGTCCCCCACTTCAGATGCCAGTCACGGGCCCCAGGTTGTCACCTGTACGTCAGATTCCTACTACCTCTTCCTCTTTTGGTAATTTGCTGTCAAGGCTCAAAGAACTTAGGGAAATATGTTATATATGTTTAGTGATGTAAAAGGGTATTATAAAGGAGAGAAATGAGCTTCCAGATGAAGAGGTCCATGGGGCGAGGCCCAGAAGGATCTCAAGTGCAGGAGCTTCTGTCTCTTTGGGGTTGGGGCAATCTCCCCTCTGGCACATGGAAACATTCATGAACCCAGAAGCTCTCTGAGCTGCTTCATTTAGGGTTTTTATGGTCTCATCATGGCATGATTGATTAAATCATTGGCTGTTGGTGATTGGCTTGATGGTCCACAACCCACTCCACCCTCCCTGGAGGTTGGGGAGTGGGGCTGGAGTTCTGGTTCCTTCTCTGGCAACCAGCCCCCTCTCTGCACAAGTCACTTTGTTTCCATAAACTTTTTCTGTGGTTGAAAGAGCTTTATTATGATTAACAAATGATGCTCCTCTGGCCCCTACTGTAACTCAGGAAGCTGCAAGGGTTTTAGGAACTCTGTGCCAGGGACCAGGACAGAAACTGTACATACACACACACATACACATAGGCTTCCCTTGTGGCTCGGATGATAAAGCATCTACCTACAATGCTGGAGACCCTGGATTGGGATGATCCCCTGAAGAAAGAAGTAGCAACCCACTCCACTATTCTTGCCTGGAGAATCCCGTGGACAAAGGAGCCTGGCAGACTACAGTCCATAGGGTCATAGAGAGTCGGACGTGACTGTGTAACTAACACAACATACACACGCATGCTATATATGTATATATATTTATATACACACACACATATAATATACATACATTTCTTCTCATATCCTGATAGCACTATATAGATTTGACTCAAATAAAAAAGCACAACAGAGTGAATGCCAAAGCAGATTTGAGAATCTTAACAGTTTGTTGTCAAGAAAAATAGAGTTGCAAAAATGTAAAATGGCACCCTTTTATTAATTTTTTCAGTTTGGGAAATAGTTATTTTCTATTTTAAAAAAATGGTGTTTATGTTAACTTTTAGCAGATTTAATATTATTCATTTAAACTGGATAATTTTTTCTCATCTTAATTTTCAATACATTACTCTCTATAGTTAAAACTCAGATAAATGGAAGGTCAGTAATTTTTAAGATTGCAAAGTCCCAAGACAGAAAGTTTGAGATTCACTATTTTAACCTTCCGGGGTTGTTGAAGGTCAGATAAATGTATTCGTGAATGTGAAATTTGGTAAAATATTTTCAACATGGATTTGTAAATAACTTGAGCCCCCGCTGTGTAAATTCTTCAGGTTCCGACTTTGGAGAGGAGATATGGAAAGAGGGTGTGTGAGAATAAGTACTTGCGGTTTCTCGTGAACTTGTTAGCTGCGGGGAGGGCAGGGGGCTTCCTCGTAACTCCTCTGCTCCCCCAACCAAAGGGTGTAAAAGCAACTTTGTGATAGAGACTTGTTTTGTCCTAAGTTTATTTACAGATATATTTATTTGTAATAAACTGTTTGTGTATTTTTGTGTGTGCTTGGGTGCACAGCAAAGCCCTGCTGTTGATGAATATGCTCTGTTACTGGTACAAGTTGCTTTTTTGGTTTTGAAATTGTCTCTTGTCTTCCCTTGCAGGTATAGAGCAAGATGCAGTGAATACTTTTACCAAATACATATCTCCAGATGCTGCTAAACCGATACCAATTACAGAAGCAATGAGAAATGACATCATAGGTAAGCAGTGCTTGAAGCTATGGCCAAAAAAAGGGGGCTCTTTTTGGTTATTAAGAGAATTCTTCATGAATATGAAATTCAGCATCTCCCTTCCATGTCTGTTTTTAGTGTACTTTATTATATCTGACTGCCGCTCACTTAAAAAGTTTCCCTCTTATTCATTATTATTAGTTTTTGATTTGAAAAATAGTAGCACATGTTTACTGAGTTACTTACTGTGTCCCAGACAATATTCTAAGCACTTCCCCTGGACAAGCTCATTTAATCTTCTAAAGAACCTTTTAGCATAAATACAGTTATTATTTTATAAATGAAGAAGCACAGAGAAGGTAACAGCTCCCAGTGCACACCTGCTGTCTATAACATTTGCCCTCAGTAACGCTCAGACATGGCAGAGTTAGGCTTTGAAACCAGACCCTACCTGGTAGGCTATTGGGCAGTGCTTTTCAGGCTACAGGTTAGGACCAGTCTCCTCTTAGGTCCTCACCACCTTCCAAAAAAAGACTAGAAAAATCAAAGTGCTTCACAGTAGTAAGGGTGAACAGACAGTACTTCTGAAAATTGTTTCTTTTTTCCATCATGCATAGGTATATAAATTTTTCTGTTGGTCGTAATTTTTTAAATGTTTGAAAGCTTTTACTGTGTTGTATTAGAAAGACTTCAAGTATGCCTATAGTCACAGATAAAAGTGGTTCATTATACACTGAACAGATATTTATTATATTCCTGTCAAGTCCCAGTACTCAGTTTTGAGTTTTTGATTACAAAAATTAAGTGTTTTGATTTATGAAGTATAGCCTGTTATTCCTCTCCTAGCAGGTTCTTCCCAGCATGGGGCTCTTTGGGTCTTTACTCATTATTTGGGGACAGCAGATCCCCTCCCCAGGCTCAGCTAAGCTTTAGTCGGTCGCCACACTCCCGGTGCACACCTTCTGTCTGTGTCAGGCCGACAGCTGCTGCCCATGTGTTTCCATTTTCCTCTCCCACACAGACACCTGTAATGCATGGGCCTTGTGGCTGTTGGTGGCTTGTCCCCATCTGCTTGTATTTTGGAATTTTCAACCAGTTTCATTCCAAGTGTCATCGTGCAATTTTGGGTTTTCTATGTCGTTCCTCTCTTTCTACGTGAAAATTTGTTGCTACCATCTTCTAGACTTCCCAAGACCACCTGTGCCTAATGATAACAACTGTTAGGTGTCTGAACAGATTAGAATGTGCCTATGTGGGAAATCGTTCGCTAGCAGTTCCTTTAGGTGTTTGTACCAATTGATAACTAACCTGTCTGGGGTATTTCAGAAAAGGAGAGAGCTTTTGATAAAGAGATAGACTCTTTTTCATAAATCTATAGTTCCTTAGGTTACCATCCTAGAAACAGAATTGCTGATTGAAAGGGTATGTTCATATTTTGAGGGATGGGGCTATGTTCATTTTTAAAGCTTGTTGTAGAGACTGTCAGATTGCCCTCCAGAAACAAATACACCAGTTTATATGCTCACTAACACAAGGGTCAGTTTTCCCATGCCCATGCTCAAGTGTGTGTATCATTAAACAATTAAGCATATGGATTGTTAAAACAATTTTGTGTCAATTTACTAGACAAAAGGTGATGTGCTTCATTATTATAATTCATTATTATATTTCCTTGGTTACTAATGAGCATGCGTATGTTTTTAAATTGGCCATTTTATATTTGTCCTTCAGTGAATTTTCTTTTCCTGTCCTTTGTTCATTTTTCTTTTGAGACTTTCTTGTTACTTTGTAAGAGCTCTTGATACATGAATGAAAATAATCTATCATTCTTAAACAGTCATATATGCTGCAAATCTTTTCCCTCAGCCTGCCCTTTTGTTTTGTTTTGAGAGTGTTTTAATTTATAGAAATTAATTGTTGAATCTTTTGATTTCTGCTTTTGCATGTATGCTTAGAAAGACTTTCCCTACCTAATGATCAGCTATTTACCTGTATTTTCTTTTAATTGCATTAAAACCTGCTAATCTTTATGCCTTTACAGTTATTCCCTGCTTTGATTTGCAGATGTGTATAGTTTGGATTTAGAGAAAAAGTTATTTACCATTTCTTTTACAGCAAAGATTTGTGGAGAAGACGGGCAGGTGGATCCCAACTGTTTCGTTTCTGCACAGTCCATAGTCTTCAGTGCAATGGAGCACGAGTATGTCGGTTTCACACTCCCACATTCTGTGTTCTTGGGAATTTCGGTTCAGTCTCAGGAAAAAAACCAAGTTATGTTTGAGGGTTTAAATACTTTGAATGTTTACAGGATCTTATAGGCATCCTCTCAGACTATCTTGGGCGATGGTTTCTTTTAAATACAAATTATGTGAATCCTAGTGAAAGTAAAACAGATTTGTATTTTTAATGTTGATATTTCTTAAGTTAAAAGAATTTGTTTTTAATTCTGAAGTCACTGGGGGTGATTGTGACTGTAGTGTGATATAGTTTATCTGCTTAAACAACACGTGTCTTCAGGTGGATATCCTGATTGTTAGTACATGCTCTAAGCTTAATGGATACCATAGCACTAAATCCACATGCCCGCAAAAAAAAAAAAAATCTCTGTTTTCATTCTTTCATTTAGCATTTATGGAAAGGGTGCTGTGCACGGTTAGCTATAGTACCTGCTGAAGGAGATTACAGCCTGAGAGTAATAGGGCATGTTGCTTGGTTACTGCAGTAGGAGGTAGCATGTGTTAGATGCCAGAGGGGAGCTGCAAGCCAGTAAGAGAGGGGAGAGGGTGCTGCAGGGAGAAGAGTCAGGGAGACCCTGTGGGAAGGGAGGGCGTGCTGACCCAGGCTGTGAGGCACGGTGGGCACAGCGTGGAAAGAGTGTGTGCTTCCCAGCGGAGCTCTTTCCTTGGTCGGTCCCTCAAATTTTACCTTTTTGTCCATATGCAGGCACTTTAGTGAGTTTCTACGAAGTCACCATTTCTGTAAATACCAGATTGAAGTGCTGACCAGTGGAACTGTTTACCTGGCTGACATTCTCTTCTGTGAGTCAGCCCTCTTTTATTTCTCAGAGGTAAATTCTGCATTTCCTTTCACACTCTGTTAGAGTCCAGCCTCTAAGCTGTAAATGCTGGGGCCCTGCCTGTGGAAAATAACATAGAGGAGACAAGTCATTTCTGAACACATTGGGTTTAAATACCTCGATTACTGTGTTGTATCTAATGGCAAGAGTACTTGAATGGCATTAAAGAGAACTTGAAAATTCAGTGTAAAATAACTATAATTTTGAAAAACCTAATTAAACTGCTTATAAGAAAATGCAGATTTTTAACTATTTAGAGCTGTTTTAAAACCACGGAATTTGATAACTTGATTTCAATGCATAAATGTTTGCAGACCAGACTTGAGAAAATAGTGAATTTTTTCCTGCTGTCATCATTTGACTTTAGCCATGTGATAGGATTACCCAGTGAAGTATTTGCAAGGAGCAGTGAGTAAACTCATCTCCTTGAGGCATGCAGTTTAGTGTGGTGGGGTGTGTTAGGCTTCAGCTAATGAAATTGTTGCAAAGCAAGTGACTTTGAAGTCGGGGTAGAGGGTTCCTAGTCTCACAGAGTGGTCACTTAGACCCACACATGCATCCTACCTCCTCACCAGAGTACAATTACTTAGCTGATTCGAGTTCTCAGCCCCTCTCTTTGCCTTTAGTTGAGCATTTGTTCAGGTTGCTGTGGCCGCATGGAATGGTGGAGACAATCAGGTGTTCAAGGTTGGGTCCAGTTGGTTTATTCTTTGTATGCTTGGCAGCAAGGAACCACTAATCCACCTTTAATTTTAACTCCAGTTCACTGAAGTTTGCATTCAGCTGTGTGGTGGTAGGGTTTCTGGTTGTTGTTTGAGTTGTTTATTTTGTTTGGGGGGTTTTTTGTTTGTTGGTTTGGTTTGTTTTTTTTCCCCCTCAAACAATATTTTAATATTTTTTCCATCTCATATGACTGTAAGTTGCTGACTGGCATTAACTGAGCAAGTGTATCTCTTTGGGCAGTGGGTGGTTTTGTGGGGGTTTCTTCTCTTGATGTCCTGTATTTTAATAGTTGGTGCTTATATACAGATGAGAGATGGTGACAGTAATCTGTTTACAGATTTTCAGTCTGATTTTCCTCTTTTGTATGTTTATTTCCCAGTACATGGAGAAAGAGGACGCAGTGAATATCCTACAGTTCTGGTTGGCAGCAGACAACTTCCAGTCTCAGCTCGCTGCCAAAAAAGGGCAGTACGACGGACAGGAGGCACAGAACGACGCCATGATCTTATATGACAAGTGAGTCTAGTTAGTGGAGGACTTTGGCACTTAGCAGATAATGAGCATTTGATGTGCTCTTGGGTAGTAAAGGTGGGTCACCTGGGTCTTTGCCATCAGGGAGCTTGCAGGGAGCTGTGGAGGAGCTGCTGCTTACTGGTGTGTGCAAAGTAGGGGTTCTTAGAACACAAGTTGCTGGTGGGAAAGGGGTGTGTGTGGGGGAAATGCAGGTCAGTGATGGTGGAGGTCACTGAGGGCTTCACAGAAGGAAGATTTGAGTGCATCCCAAAGAGTGAATTGGATTCTGTTGCCAAAGAAGGTGGGAAAGAATGTTCTTGGAGGAGGCACCAGCATGAGCAGGCTCATTGGAGGCTTTGGGTGATTGAAAACTTGGGTTGGGACGTGAAAGAAGGTGAAACCAATGGGAATATATTGCAGAGGGCTCAGTGACTTCTGAGCCAGACTGACTGCTCAGTGGAGAGCAGTTTTTCATTAGCTTTCCCTGAATATGAGATGGCAGCGCAGTCTGACAGGGAATGGAACTGAAAACTGTGTCCGCTCCTTTTCATCCAACTTTTCTCCCTTCTGTGAAGAAAAGCAGTGTGGTGGTGTATCCATAAGCACTTGCTAAGAAGAAAGCTTGAGGATAAAAAAACAATCCATGGGATCTTAGAGTTGGCAGAGAGCTGAGAGCATCCGGGTCAGGGGTTTCCGAGCTTGCCGGGTATGCTCGTGCTCCTGTCAGTGCAAGTGTCACCTAGAAACTTGTCAAAAATAGCTTTCCTGCCCTTTTGTGAAAGAGATCTGACTCGGCGGGTTTGAGGTGTGGCCCAGGAATCTTTCTCTGTAAAGACATCTGGTGATCCTGAGAATAGCCAGGTGAGGGTCTGGTCTGATTTTCCCAATGTGCTGATGAGAACACCAAGGGCCCACACGGGTGGTGAATTTCTCAAAGTCACGGGGCAGATTTGCGGCAGGACTTGGATGTGGTTCTAATGTTTGTCCAGTGTTTATTTTAGTGTAATATATTTGTGGGAAAATACTGTACAAGAAACAGTGTTATATGGAAATTAAGATGGCAGGCATGTACATTTAGAAATTCGGGGGAGTTCCCTGGTGATCCAGTGGTTAGAATTCTGCAATTTCAGGGATTGAATCTAGGGCCTGGGTTCAAGCCCAGGTCTAAGAACTAAGATCCCACAAACCACATAATGTGGCCAAAAAAAAATTTTTTTTGGTCTGTGTTGCCCCACAGTTCAAAGCATGGAGGAATATTTGCCAACTTATTTGTTGCAAGGTGGGAGGAAGCTCACTTTTTGTTAAGAAAATAGTAATAACAAGAAAAAGGGGTTTTCTGTGCTGGAACAGAGGTGTGACAGCAGTGAGGACCTGGCAGGAGCTCAGTGCCACCCATAGCAGAGATTCCGTCTTCCCACTGGATCCCATTTTCAAACTGGGAGCCGTCTTTAAATGAAGACGCCCACCAGCACTATTGTTTTATCAAGCTCATTGTGCCAAATTTGACTTTACCCATTCCTACTCTTCCGCTTTTCTATCTTTTTTTCCCTAATATCATGTCTCATTAGCCTTTCTGAATTTGTATCATGAACAGGAGCTGAAAGGCTGCTGCAGGGCTGCCCTCCACCCAGCTCTGTAAGCCTAGGTCTGCATGAGCCTCAGGAGGGTCTCTGGTGTCAGTGCCAGAAGGCGCTGTGATTGCTGGGATACGGGTTGACTTTGGCCGTCTTTCTGCTGTAGGTACTTCTCCCTCCAGGCCACACACCCTCTTGGATTCGACGATGTTGTGCGACTGGAAATTGAATCCAACATCTGCCGGGAAGGTGGGCCACTCCCTAACTGTTTCACCACTCCGTTACGTCAGGCCTGGACGACCATGGAGAAGGTAACTAAAACCCCATTATCCCAGAAGTGTTAAACTATAGGAAGTTTTTCCTGGTGGAAGTCAGAAAATGAAATGTGGAGAAAAGCAAACACAGCAGTGGACAACTGAAACAATGGTGATTAAGAGCAAAGGCTTTGCGTCTGGCTTGGTGTGTATTAATCTCAACCCTGTAGGCCGAGGGACCCAGGCAGCTCCCGAAGTCCTTTAATGCCATTTTCCTCGTCTCTGAGGTGGGGCTCATACAGGTACTTAACCTCAGAATAGTTTTGAGGATGAAAGTGAGATAAGATGTGTAGAGTGGTTACTAGTAACATAACCCCTGACACATCATGAGCCTTAAAGAATGTTAATTGCTGTTATTACAGCTTTTAGATAACTGATAGTACTAAGCAAAGTTAGCTTAGGGATGATCCAAATTTTTCACCAAACCCTCCAACAGGGTTGGAACGCTAGTTTTTTTGTATCATTATCACTTACAGGGTAAATGCTAATAGCTGCTTATTATTGATAAAGAGTTGGAATTGTGCCTCAGTTACTCTCTGATGAACTAGAGCAGTTTTTCCTGGGAATGGCACAGAACCTAGGATAAACCCGTGAGGTTGTTTCTCTCACGTATGGCTTGTGCATCAGGTGGAAAGGGATTAATTACACTGCTGCATGACCACCCCTCAAACCTGAGTGTCAGGAGTGTGGCAGGTTACATACAGAAATCAGATCATCAGGGAGCTGCTGGGAAGCTGGATAGACTGTTAGCTCTTGTCCAGGGCTGATCATTTTTTCATGATTAAAATAAACATTGTCTAATCTTACAGGGGAAAGTTCAAAATCTGTATCATATAGAGAATGTAAACTTTTTGGGTAATAAAAGAGAAAAACAGAATATCAGAGTACAGTATATCAAGTAGGTAAATGGGGGGAAGAATGTGTGCCTCCTTCACTAATACTTCGAGTATTTCTGTGCTGGAAGTTGTTGTTACGGGATAAACAAGAAAAAACATGGTTTCTGCCCTCCTGCAGCTCTGTCTAGGAGGAAGGCGTATGTTAAACACAGACATCAATATTTACAGTTGTGTTGAATACTGTAAAGGAAAAGTTGAAAACAGGAAATGCCAGTAATAATGATGGGAGCTTAGGATCATTAATAATTTTAAACGCAAATGAAAGCATCTGTGTACATTAGATGTTTATTTAACGGTGATTTGAAAAAACAGAAGCCAGTTTTGGAAAGCCTCTGTCAGAACAGATGCCTTGATAATACTGCTAGTGATTATCCTTAGGATTTATCAAAGCTGAAGTTTTCACATGTTGAACTCAGTAGTCACACTCCTGGTAATTTATCTTAAATAAATCAGCCCAGAAGTCAAAATCAACATACACAGGAAGACTTAAGTATTTATAACAAACCAGAAAAATCTAGTTTCAAACCACATTCACTCCCCAGTCACTAAGACGTCCATATTCAGTAGTTTCATGGCGAGTTTTCGGGGGTGGGGGGGAGCAGCTATAAATTGTACATGTAGTTTTTTTTTTTTCCCATGTTGTGGTTTTAGATACAGTGTAAACTGTGTACAAAGGGATAACAGAGTACAACAAGATGTAAGATCAGGCGTGGTGACTGGTAGCTTTAATAAGGTGTCTTCTTTTTCAGGTCTTTTTGCCTGGCTTTTTGTCCAGCAATCTATATTATAAATACTTGAACGATCTCATCCACTCAGTTCGCGGAGACGAATTCCTGGGAGGGAGTGTCTCGCTGATGGCTCCAGGCTCTATGGGTCCCCCTGACGACTCCCACCCTGGAGCAGCCGACAGCTCCACCTCTCAGGTAGTGACCCGTGTGCCCAGCCATTAGGATCCTTTCACTCAGATCCTAGCATCAGACCCCGTTTATAAGCTTTAGGTTGTAGAAGAAACAAGGAGAGATAAAATCAGTCTACTTACTAGATATTCTAACCAAAATCTTTCTGATGATTGACAAACCTGAATTAACTTTTTGGCCAACCCAGTAGAATGCCGTTTTTGTTTAGACACAAAGGCCTAGGTGCTAACCGTAAAAAGTATTTTTACATTTTTGGTTGAAGTATAATAATACGTTACAGGAAAGTCTACATTTCATAATCATGTACAGCTCTAAGAATTTAGATAAGCAAACCTAACCCATGTGACCAGCATCTAGATCAAGAAAGAGAACACCTTACCAGGTTGTCAGACACTGTTGTCCCCTTCCTGTCACTATCCTCCTCTTTTCTTTCCTTTTTTTTGTACAACCTTATTGAGATATACTTCACATACCGTACAGTTTATCCATTTACACTGTATAATTCAGTGGTTTTGTAGTTTATTTATAGAGTTGCTTAACTCACCACAGTCAGTTATAGAACATTTTTTTCACCCAAGAAAGGCAGCCTTTACCCTTTAACTCTCACCCTCCAAGTCCTCATTCCTCCAGCCCTAGGTGGCTGCTAGTTGACTTTCTGTCTCTCTAGATTTGCCTGTTCCAGACATCTCATATAAGTGGAACCTTGTGATATGTTGTCCTTGTGACTGGCTTCTTTTTTCAAGGTTCATCCGTGTTTTTAGCATGTATTAGAACTTTGTTCTTCTATGGCCAAATGACACTCCATCGTATAGACACACCACATTTTGTTTACTCCTCAGCTCGTGGACGTCAGGATTATTGTTTTTGGCTGTTAGAAGTCATGCTGCTGTACAGTTTTTGTGTGGATGTATATTTTCATTTCTCTGGTGTACATACCTAGGAGTAGGATGGCTGGGTCAAATGATGACTAACTCAGTCTTGATTACTGTTCCTTTGTAATAAGTTTTAAAATCGGGAAATGAGAGTCCTCCAACTTAGTTCTTCTTTCTCAAGACTGTTTTGATGGTTTAAGGTCTCTTGCAATTCCATATGAATTTTAGGATCAGCTTGTCAATGTCTACGAAGAAGCTAGTCAGGATTCTGATAGGAAAGGAGGACTTAAACTCCACAGATCAATTTGGTGAGGATTGCCATCTTATATTTTGTTGTTTTCAAATATAGTTCTGTATTTCTTGTCTTAAATTTATTTCTAATGTTTTATCTTTCTTAATGCTTTTATATATGTAATTGTTTTCTCAATCTCATGTTCAGCTTATTCATTGTGTTTAGAAATGAAATTTTTTTATTGAAAAACTCATTTAACATGAATTTAACCATTATAAAGTATATGGTTCTGTGACATCAGTGTATTTGCAGTCTTGTGTTGCCATCACCCCAACTTGCTCATCATATCAGGTGGAAACCTCGTGTCCAGTAAATGGTCACTCCTCATGCCCACCTGTTTTCTTCTGAGAGTTTTGGGCCTTTGATCCGTTTTGAGTGAGTTTTATACATTATGTGAAGTAGGATTCAACTTCATTCTTTTGAATGTGAATATCTAGTTGTCCCAGCACTGTTTATTAAAAAAACTCCTCTTTCACCATTGAATGGTCCTGACACCCTTGTTGAAAATCATTCGACCTTAGGCACATGACTGAACAACAAACAACAAAAATATGGGTTTACTTCCGGACTCTGGGCTCAACTCCATCATCTGTGTCTGTACCTAGACTGTGCTGTGTTGTTGTGATACTATAGTTTATAGGTTTTGAAAGCTTTGAAATCAGGAACTGTGTGTGTGTGTCCTCTGACTTTGCATTTTTTTCATTTGCAAGATTGATTTGGATGTTCTGGTTCTTTGTAGTTTCATGTGAATTTCAGGAGCAGCTTTAACATTTTGGTTCAGAATTACTTGAATCTGAAGTTTCCTTTAGAAAGTGTTGCCATCTTCACAGTATTGAGTCTTACAAGTCCATGAACATGGAATACCATTCCATTTATTTATGCCATCTTTTATTTCTTTCAGCAGTGTTTCGTAGTTTTAAGTGTACACTTTTTACACCTCCTTGAGTCAGGTTATTCCTAAGTAGTTTATTATCTTTGATGCTATTATAAACAGAAATTGTTTCCTTAATTTATTTTTCTGATTCTTCACTGAATGTGTAGAAATGTTACGGGTTTTGTGTGTTTATCTTGTACCTTCAACTTTACTGAATTCGTTTGTTAGCTCTAAATAGTTGTCTGTGGATTCTTTAGGGTTTTCTATATCTTAAATCATGTCATCTGCAAATAGAAATAGTTTTCTTTCTTATCAACTTTGGATGTCTTTTGTTCCTTTTCTTGCCTAACTGCTGTGGCTAGAAATTGCAGTACAGTGTTGAACAGAAGTGGTGACAGTGAGCATCTTTGCTGTAGAGTGTTCTCTAAGTGTCTGGTCCGTTACTTTTATATATATATTTTTTTTTAATTTAACCTGTGCTTTAGTCATTGATGTTAAAGGTATTCCTGTCATTACTTTAAACAATGCTGCAACAAATAATCTTGTGTATAAGTCATTTTGTATGAATCTATTTATGATTGAATTTTAGAAGTGGAGTCACTGGGTCAACCCATGCCTCTATTTCATAGAGGTACCAGTTCTGACTTGCTTTCTTTGTGGGCATGAGGAGTGGGAGGTAAAATACTATTCGTTTTAGCAAGTTTCCTCCATCTTCTGTTTTGTTACATGGCCACACTAAGAATCAAAAGCATTCATGTTGATACTGTGAGAGTCGGGCTTTACATTTATCAGCCAAGATACATGTGCATGGAAGAAGGGAGTTTTACACAGTTGGGAACATAAGCTCAGTTGTTGGAACTCGATTTCTTAGGGAAAGCACGTGTGGCATACGGATGCACATGTCATATGTGTCGGTATTGTGCATCCCTCCTGCACTTACGTTTGAGTCTCAGGATCATTGCTCTTAAGCATCTCATTCATGACGGGGTTGAGTGGAACGTGTATGTTTTAAACACTGAAGATTTTGTATGGATCTATCGTTCCAAACCCAGGACTGGCTTGACTCCTGAATAACATACACTAATTTCACAATTTCTGTTATAGTCCAGTCTGAAAAAAGCCAGTGTTAAGATTCTGAAAAATTTTGATGAAGCGATAATTGTGGACGCTGCAAGTCTGGATCCAGAATCTTTGTATCAACGGACATATGCAGGGTAAGCATCTTTTTAAAAGAAAATATTTTAATTTGAAATGTAAAAATTGTTTCCACTGTCTCATCTATGCCCTTCCCTTTTACATGTAGTGCGGTTGAGGGTGAAGGCTCAGGAGTGACTTACTGGGTTTAATCTTGGCTCAACTGCTGATGGCAAGCTGCCTAATGCTCTCCAGTTTTTCATCCGTGAAACGAGAATGAGTCCTGCTTCGTTGGGTTGGTGAAGGGGATTAAATGAGATAGTACATGAAAAGCATTGAAAACGTTGCCTGATAGCAGTGAGCACTCAGTGGATTCCATTGCCATCCTCATTTCCACCGCTGTGTATGACACTGATGCATGTCATGTGTACATAATGTGTGCTAGGCTGTCTTGTCCACGTTTCATTTGATTCATATGTTAGCTATTTTGAAGTCTCTGTTTTAAACTACAAAGATGCTGATAGCTTTTATCATGGACTATATAACTAGAACCGTTGGCTGTCAGTAACTGCAGGGGATTGCAGGACCCCTTCAGATACCAGAATCTGAGGATGCTCGAGTGCCTTGTATGAAGTGACCTGGTATTTTAAACCCATATAAATCATCTCTTGATTACTTATAACACCTAACAGAATGTCAGTGCTTTGTAAGTAATTGTAAATACAATGTAAATGCTATGTAAATAGTTGCCAGTGCACAGCAAATTCAAGTTTTGCTGTTTGAAACTTTCTAGATTTTTTTTTCTCTGAATATTTTCAGTCGGTCGTTGATTGAGCCTGTAGATCTGGAGCCTTTAGATATGGGGAACCAGCTGTATTTGGGGAAACAGAATAGAATGATTCCTTTGTATTTTGGAGTTAACTTGGTTGTTTATTTTATTCTGAAACAGAAAGGCAGTGATACAGCACTTCTCGATCTTTACCACAGATCAAATCATAATATCGCTTCTTCTTCCCTGAAGATGGCTTGAAAACACAGAAACCTGTGTAAAGGCATGCATGATTACCCCACCCCAGTCCTGGCAGTAGCATGAAAGGGGATTTCAACATGCTTATTTGCTTTTACCAGAAAGTAAAGTGATAGTTGGGAGACCAAGGAGTCCAGAAAATACTTTGAAGTAAATAGAAGGTTATTTTGGCGACTCAGTCTTCAGCTGTGTCAGTGTTGTAATAATCTTTATTTCTTCTTTAAGGAAATGGTAGACAATAAGGCTAAATGAGTTAATTCCCAAAGATGCTGTTTATTCTTGTTTGTTTGTTTTTTGGGGTTTTTTGCTATTTATTCTTAAGTAATGAGTGGTTCATTTATTTCAGACCTTAAGAAAGACTGTCAATTGCAAGATGTTTTATTTCTATAGTTTTCTTGTATGTTAAGTAAATATATGTTAATTTATAAAATTTAAATTTGTAAAATAAATATATGTATAGTGTGAGTGAAATAATGATTTTTTTTTCCCTCTATCTTTAGAGATAGATTTTAGTGTTTGTTTTAGTTTAATGGTTCTAGCGTCTTCCTGAAATTTTTCTAAAGGCCAACAAATCTGTAGCAGTTGGTGTATTGGCACCCACATATTAACTGACTTATTAGGAAGGCTATTTCAAGAATAAGATCTGCTTTACCTGAGATGAAATAATATGTAGGCATCAAAAGATTTTCTTTTTTTAACTAAGTTTAACTAATACAAATATATTGATCTCTTCTTCCAAAAATGAAATTTACAAATAAGGCTACTGTGCCCTTTGATTACAAATCAATGCCTGTTTTCTCCCCTTCCTTCTCAGGATAATCACTGTTACATTATGGTGTATATTTTTGTTGGCTTATGTTTATATGATTGAAATTACACTCTATTCTGTCTTGTGCTTTCATTCATAGTGAGTTTGGAGATTTTTCTATGTTAGTCTACACATATTTACCTCATCTTAACTGTGTTGTTACTATTCCATAAATAATGTTAATTATAGCTCATAACTGTTGCTAAATACTTCACAGTGTCTTATGTTACTATTTGGTGTTGATGGTTATTGGTATTAACTGGGTTTTGGTATTAATAGGTTAGAGAAAGTTTACTTTCTGTGGGGGACAATTCTTTTTGAAATAAGTCCCACTCTGAGTAAAATGGATAGGTATAAAATCGTATTTCTCGTTTTCTAGATTAGATAAGATGCTTAAATTTAATTTTTTTTTTTAATTTCAAGTGGATTGTTAGACATTGTGTTCTTTTCATACTCATTTAGGAAGATGACGTTTGGAAGAGTTAGTGACTTGGGTCAGTTCATCCGCGAATCTGAGCCTGAACCTGATGTAAAGAAATCAAAAGGTTTGTGGTGTTTTTATACATTGTATCACGCCTTTGGTGGCTTAGACAGTCAAGTGTCTGCCTACAATGCGGGAGACCCAGGTTCGATCCCTGGGTGGGAAAGATCCTCTGGAGAAGGAAATGGCAACCCAGTCCAGTATTCTTGCCTGGAAAATTCCATGAAAGGAGCCTGGTAGGTTACAGTCCATGCGGTCACAAAGAGTCGGACACGACTGAGTGACTTCACTTCTTTAATCATGCCTTTACTCACATTAGTCATTGCCTGTAAGTGAAGGGTTGTTGAAGATTTAAACTGTTTATTTTACAAAATAGCTGTCATATCTTTATCCTTGTGTTTATAGTCAGGAGTGAGTCCAAGGGCTTGGTGTAATCAGGTCTCCACACAGTCTCTATCTCTGAATCAGAAGTTACTGAACTTGATTTCCCATTACAGAAGACGCGTCTGCATGAAACAATGGCTCAGAATACCATGCTGACAGCAGTTTGCTGTTCAGCTCTACTTCCTCTCCTTGCCGAGGCAGCTGCAGAGAGTGTTTGTCATTTGCCACCCTGTAGTTGTATTTTGGATTTTAAAGCTCTGATGATAGAGCAAATAAGGAAGGGCCACATTTTAAGGCGGATGTATCTCAGAAACTTCTGAGAATGTGGAAACTTTACTTTCAGGTCAAGCAAGGTTAATTTTAATAGTCACCTTCACACCATCTAGGAGAAAGTGTAATAAGAACGAATTGTAAGGGATGTTGTGAGCGGGTGGTCCCTGCAGTGGCAGTGCACTGGCAGGAGATTGAGCTGTGTGTGCCCTGTGAACACCCTCGTGTGTTTCTAGGAAACCTGTGGTCATGTCTTCTGGGCAGCAGGGATTTCTAAGCAGAGTGCAGTGAGATGCTTCTTTCTGCCGTAGTCTGGGAATAAAGTGCAGTTGGGGAGAGTCTGGTGTCAGAGAGGCTACTCAGGGAGTAGGATTCACTAGTAATGTAGGTAGAAGAAAAGGAGGATTTTGGGGTAGGTAGTAGTAGCAGGAATTAGGTCAGATTTATAACACTTAGGAAATTCAGGAGACTACATCCACCGTGGAATTTGGTTACAGATTCATGGGGAAAATAAATGAGGAAGGCAGATGAGGTTTTAACATGGGTTCTCTAAATAAAATGTTATGATGTTGATTTTCATTAGAGGATTAAATTATTGTCTGAGATGAAGGCTACAAAAAGGTATATGAGAGAAGAGCTCTACTTGGAGCAGGTTAAGTTTGAAATGACTTAGGACAACTTTTAAATTAAGTATTGGTATGACACCTAAGAACAAATTTTTGAGTTATTTGCATTTTGAAGGAAGTTGAAGCCAAGGAGGGGATGAGATGCCCCAGAGAAAGTGCTGAGGGAACAACGGGATCCTGAAGAAGCTCCTTTGGAGCGGGGGAGGTGCTGCTAGAAGAGAGGGACAAGTAGAAGCTGTCAATAGCCTGGAGAAAGAGCTGAGCACCAAGAAATTCAGTGGGTTCAACAGCTGTTTGAGACTTTAGGCAGAACATGTAATGTTGTGGCCATGTAATGTTGACTCTGCCTGGCCATAAAGTTTAACAAGATCAGTATTTCGACTTCTGGCTAGTAATACAAATTATTAAGGGGAAAGGATCCAGGTTTTGTATTTTTCATGAATACTACAGTTTACTGTAGACTACCCCAGTCATTGAACTAATCAGGATCTTGCCTGAGAAACAGGGTACCAGCCACTTGGTTTAAGGCTGAGTTAAATGTGAGCCTGTTTGTATTCATGAAAGGATAAGCTGTGTGTTTAATTCACGGAAATAGAGCCTAGCCTCCTTCCTCGGTAGTGCCTCAGTGTTTTAAGTACAGATGTGTGGAGAGGCTGTGTGTCTCCTGGGAAGTTGTTATAGCCTGGACAGAGCATGGCTGTTTAAAACACTGATCTTACCCAGCAAATTCGCAGACCAGAGATCCAGTGTGTAGCAACAACATCTGCACTGGGAACCCTTTTGTAGAGGAGCTGGTCTGAAAGATTTACGTCCATCCACCTGTCAGTGGATTATACCTCTTGATGTACTGTTAGATTCTGCCCTCAAGGCCAGATCCTGGTCCTGGTTTTATTTGATCTTTGAATGTTTACTGCAGATTTTAACACTGGTTGATAGTTTCTTTCATCAAGTGAGGAGAACAGAAGAAAAACCTCAAGCTCTAAAACAGCTTTTCAAAGTTTTTTCAAGCCATATTTGCAAGTTAAATATTCTCTTATGGAAACAATATAATCAGTTTTTGTTAATGGCCTTAATTTGGGAGTGAGGCTGTACAAAATATATATACATATATATATGTATATATATATATATATATATTTTTTTAAGTATCTTCTGGGACTTCTCTGGTAGCTCAGTGGTTAAGAATCTGCCTGCCAATCTAGGAGATGTGGGTTTGATCCCTAGTTCGGGAAGACCCCCATATGCCGCAGAGCAACTGAGCTCATGTGCCACAACTGCTAAGCCTGTGCTGCTCTAGACCCTGGGAGCCATAACTGCTGAGCCTGTGCTCTAGAGCCCAGGAGCCACAACTATTGAGCCCATGTGCCATAACTACTGAAGCATGCATACCCTAGAGCCCGCTCTCTGCAACAAGAGAAGCTGCCACAGTGAGAAGCCCAAGCACTGCAACTAGCGAGTAGCCCCCACTAGCTCCAACTAGAGGAAAGCCCATGCAGCAGTGAAGGCCCAGCACAGCCAAAAATAGATAAATGATTTTTTTTTTATTTTTTTAAAGTTTGTATTTTAAAAACTGGGAAATGGCTTTTAATAGTCTTTTTTAATGTAAAATTATGCATGAAGTCTACATTCAACTTTGGCTTTGTTTACTAGGATCCATGTTCTCTCAAGCTATGAAGAAATGGGTGCAAGGAAATACTGATGAGGTAAATTCTACTTGTAGTGTAAAAAGATTTCTGTCTTATCAGGGGCACTTATTCTAAGTAAGGTTTCAGGATTTCTCTCTCCTTAGTTTCTGATGCTTAAGCAGCATGGCACCTTATTGCTTCCTTGTCTCAGAGGTGACCGGAAGGGGTGGCCCTTCCAAGATCTCACAATTGCCTGGAGGCAGTGGTCCTCAGTCCAGAGTCTCTGACCACAGAAAACAGTCAAGCAGTCAGGTTCCCATCAGTCAGCAGGCATCAGTGATCAGTGCCACAACAAAATTCAAACAGTTCCTTCCTCATTGTCAGGTATACTTTCAGAAATAGAGGTTTGCTCTTTTGAATAGTTAGGTACATTGAAAGACGAGAGTGGAAGAAGAAAAATGTTTGATTTTAACCATCTAACATGAAACTAGTCATGCTGTTGGTTGACCTGTAGCTGACTCTGGGGACCAGTGAATCATATGTAAACATACCAAAACCAGAGGGCGGCCTGGGTCCTTTAATGCATAAGAATATGCTTCTTTCCAAATACGTAGAAATGATATGTATACACAGTTGTGTTTAGAGCACTAATAATGTTTGTTGGTTCTTCTAGCAAATAACTGTTATCAACAACTTAATTACTTTTTTAGGCCCAGGAGGAGCTAGCTTGGAAGATTGCTAAAATGATAGTCAGTGATGTGATGCAGCAGGCCCAGTGTGATCAGCCATTAGAGAAGTCCACAAAGGTAAGGACCCAGCCTGCATGAAACAAAAGAGAATTAGATCTCGATACAAATGTGCAGCACGAAAGGGAACTTCTGCTCCAGCCAACCATGAATCAAAAATAACATTTCTTTAAAAAAAATTTCTGAAAGCAGAACTTGATTTGCCGTGCCCGGCAACTATTTACATGGCATTTACATTGTATTTGGTAATTATAAGTAAGCGAGAGGTGACTTCAGGTACTCAGGATGAGGTGTGTGAGTTATATGGAAATACCACGCCCCACACTGTGTCAGGGGCTCGAGCATTCTCGACTTGTTGGTATCTGCAGGGGCCTTGGAAACAGTGCCTCACCATTCCTGGGGGATGGCCATGCCTGTGGGGTACTGCTGAAGGCATTCCTACAGGCAGATTTGTAGCATTAAATGTTGATATTACATGATAACCCAGCAAGTTGGAGAGAGCCACTTAGCCCCCTGGTGTTTTCTTCAAGAAAAGACTCCCAGTGTTCTTCTAGCTTTGCGTTCTGTAACCTGGGTTGACTCAGGAGGACTTCCTGTGACAGGAGAACTTCTGCTCAGACTCCTGATGATGGCGTTAAACTGCTCTGTGTCGTTCACGTTAGCAGGAGCTAGGAACCCGAGCTACCTGTGTTCACGTGACGTCCCCTGTGACCCTCCATAGTTTGGAGGCAGGAATTGAGATGTGGGTCCAGCATCACCCGTTCCTTGCCAGCTTTTTACGCTAAGAACTGTCGTTATCAGAGCTTGGTGTAATTCTGAACTTTTCACTGAGCTAATTCAGACCAAAGCTCTGCTCACTTTTGCAGACTCTGTCCTCTTTTCTGTGTAACAGTGATAATTTGTACCTATATTTATCCTTACTGGCTTAGTCAAACCCAAAATAGCAAAGAGCAAGATAAAGGTGTAGAAAGAAGTGCAGGATGGTTGTTTCTGTGATCCCAGTTACCATGTTGATGATCAGATGTTCCACAGTATAAAATTGTTCTTTAGAAACCATTTTGGAAAGCAGATTTTCAGCTTAAGGCTTTTCATTGTTGTGTGTTCAGATTTTTTTATCATGTGTGCTTTTTCATGTGTAAGATATGCAGGAATACTTTGCTTCTAACCTTACTTGGCCTTCTCTTTGGTTGGCTGAGATGACGGTCCTGCAGGTGTGGTCAGAGCCCTTGGTGTGGTCAGCAGACCTAGCACTGTCCATTCCTGGTCAGTATGTGTGACCTTATGCGAGTTGCTTCTTTCTGGTCCCTTCTTTTCCTTATCAGCAGATCAGAGAAGTTGGACAAGAAAATCTCCTAAGATCCCCTGTAATTCTCAGTCCATGACTGTGTGAATGTGAAAGTCCTGCCCCCACAGATGAGGTCACAGCTTCTCCTTAACCCGAATGGATATCTCTTTGCTTTGAATTGACTGCCGGGCATTTGTCTGTAGAAAGCACTTGGGCATTTAAACTCAGGGCATTAATGACTTATTTTGTGTGTGTATGTCCCATCTCACAGATAGTAAGGACCGTGTCTTGTGTGATGTTTGTTTCCTTGTCAGTGCAGTAAGAAGGTGGAATCAGCTTCAGAAGCTTGGTCTCAGGTAGCCAGAAGATCGCAAGTCTCTGTTTTCTTGCTAGAAGCTCTGGGGAATTCCATGTTATGGTTCTGTCTCCATCTCGTGAATCCCCAGCAGATGGTTATTTGGTTGTCTGGGATTGTTCCCTGTCACAAAACAATGCTTTAATGAATAGTGTATGAAAGTCTTTGTCCCTTCTTATGAGTGTGCTGTGGAGTTAGTTCCTAGAAACAGAATTATTTGTCAAAAAGTAGATATTTCATTCTAATATCTATCACCTAGATGGAAAGATAAAAAAGCAAGTCTGGTTGTCAGTCCTCGTCATGTTACCTTTGGGTGGGCCACTCGGCATCTTCAGCCTTTCATTGGCTCTGTGTAAATGGAGGTGATTGTAGTAGGGTCCTGAGGTGGTACACAGTACCTGGTATTCGGGAGGCACTCACTCAGCACTGCGTCCCCTTGTGATGGTAGTGTGTCCCTGGTTGTAGAAATGTACCTTATCTTTGTCTTTTCCTTCCTTTTTTCAGATATGACTCAGACCTGAGATCAAGGAAATCTGCTTTTGGAAAATAAGAAAACTTTTTTCCTTTGGTTGGATTCCTCACCACAGCCAATGAAAATCTGGAAATTGAATCCAACATCTGCCGGGAAGGTGGGCCACTCCCTAACTGTTTCACCACTCCGTTACGTCAGGCCTGGACGACCATGGAGAAGGTCTTTTTGCCTGGCTTTTTGTCCAGCAATCTGTATTATAAATACTTGAATGATCTCATCCACTCAGTTCTCGGAGACGAGTTCCTGGGAGGGAGTGTCTCGCTGATGGCTCCAGGCTCTATGGGTCCCCCTGACGACTCCCACCCTGGAGCAGCCGACAGCTCCACCTCTCAGTCCAGTATGAAAAAAGCCAGTGTTAAGATTCTGAAAAATTTTGATGAAGCGATAATTGTGGACGCTGCAAGTCTGGATCCAGAATCTTTGTATCAACGGACATATGCAGGGTAAGCATCTTTTTAAAAGAAAATATTTTAATTTAAAATGTAAAAATTGTTTCCACTGTCTCATCTATGCCCTTCCCTTTTACATGTAGTGCGGTTGAGGGTGAAGGCTCAGGAATGACTTACTGGGTTTAATCTTGGCTCAACTGCTGNCTTCCTTTTTTCAGATATGACTCAGACCTGAGATCAAGGAAATCTGCTTTTGGAAAATAAGAAAACTTTTTTCCTTTGGTTGGATTCCTCACCACAGCCAATGAAAACAGCACTGTATTTCTTCTCACTGTCGTTCCCAGGAAAGAAGGGCGGACAATCCTGGACTTCCACCATGGAGAGTGGCTCGTAGATGCCCTGCCACCCAGATGATCGCAGAGTGACAGTCAGAGAGACCAAGGGGCACTGTTTACACTACTAGAGATTAATCGTTTTCCAATGGCAATAACCCATCCACAGAAGAATTTAGCCCATGGGGATCTGCAGGGCCAGGCGCCATGGGAGGCGGGTGGGCTTGGAGCTGGTGTTTGTTGCGCTGCCTTGACGGTCTCCTACTCCAGCCGCATCATGAGGTGGGTGCCCGGGGTGCTTTGCTCCATCTCCTACACAAACAGGTGAGTCGGCCTGGCCTCAGCCAGGCAGCGCAGTGCCGGCAGATGGCTTTCCTTCCTGGGAATAGGGCCTGCACAGAGGCGTTCATCTGGAAGGAAGCTGAGAGGTCACGGGTCAAGTCATGGTGACATTGTCCTTCCCTTTGGTGGCAATTTGCCATTTTCACATTTTAATTGCTCCTGGGATGCAGTACACGTAAACCAGGTCCCCTGCCAGAGGAGCCACCCTCTGCACTGTGAGCATCAGGCCCTGCTCCTCCAACTTCTATGCTCCAGAGATGTCCTTCCCCTCATAGCACACAAGGAAAGGAATTTGCAACAACTGTCACTCCAGTTTTCCCCTGTGTTTCCTTGAACAAATGTTTGTTCCCAGTTGTACACTTTTTTAAAGCAGGTGGTGGGCAGGGGTGTGGGCAGGCAAGGGTGGGGGAGAAAGGCCCTCGTCTCTGACCCCCGACGCCCATCTTTGCCGCGCCGGCAGTGTGCAGCTCGTGGCCTTTCTCCTTCGTCCGTGGTCATGAGAGGCCCCTCGCTGCACTTCCGCTCTGTCGGCCTCAGGGTCTGGGCCACACTGCCCTCGGCAGAGCCACCCTGGCAGTAAGCACACTCCATGGTGGGTGCTGCCAGCATGGCCTCGCTGCCCGGACTGTTGGGGAAAGAACGTTCTCTTAGGTGTTACTGCTTTTGCTCAGACTTTGCAAAAAAAAAAAATATATATATATATATACACATATAAATATATAATTATTAATCATCTCTGTCCTTGAGAAAGTCTTGAATGAATAAGAGTTCCTTCTACTGCAATACCTGACTGTGCAAGAGGCACGCCATTTCATCAACAGACGAAGCAGAAAGGCTGTGTGTGGGTTTTGGTACTGTGTACCACCTCTGTTATTCTTCTAAAGCCAAGTGTTCATGTACTTAAACCATATTCTATTTAATTGTGTTTGATTTTAAAATATATATATATGAATTATATTTAAAACTGTGTCAACTTTCTGCTTTCAGGGCATTTATGGCTCCTCTATTGAAATGTGTTGATTCTTCCCAGTATTTCCATTTGCTTTACAAGAACCCAGAACAGAGCCACTCCTGGACTCAGCCCTGTGTTTGGAGCGTGTGGCATAGACCCAAGTGTTATTAGTTGCCTGTGCTGTGATTGACTCACTTTGTTCTTTTAACAGAATACTTCCATCCATGTCACTTTGCTTCAGTCTTTAAATAACAGAAAAGCAATATGAAGTTCATAGAATAAACTGTGGTTTTGGGTGACTTGCCGCCTCTGCATGTTTTGGAATAACAATGTCTGTCAGGCTCTAGGCTGTTGACATGCGTGCTTTGCATTAAGATGCTGTCCAGTCCTATACCTGTGTGTGCTGTCTGCTTTCTCGGTAGGGATGTCAGTAGCTGTGAGGTCCTTATAAAGAGAAGGATAGCAGGCTGGAGACTGACTGGCTCTTCCTACCCTGCCCGCTGTAGGACACAGAAAGTACGGCCTGAAACTCCTGTCTCTCGTGGCTCCTGCAGTCTTCAGAATGGGAGGTATCGTCTGGCCTTGAGAGCCAGGCTGTGTGCAGTATGCCCACAAAACAGGCTTCCCTGAACATCCAGCTTTAATGTCATGCTGACACCCATGCACACTGTTAAAAAGAAAAAAGACGTTATGAAAGAGGGTACCTTTTGTGATCGGATTCGTCTTCATCACTCCTGTAAGATGTGATGAAAATAAAAAGCATCAGCCAAGCCCAGTGAGAGCAGTAAAACAGGGAGCAGCTGTTTTAACCTCTTCTACTTGGGTTTCATTATTCAGTAGAACATTACAAAGTGTAAGTAATTACATTTCTGAAGCTGTGGCTAGTTCAGTAAGAATTTGGTTGGGGGGTGGGGTGGGGACACCACTTGAAACAGAAAAGTATAGACATCTTTGTTTTTGTTGTATTTAAGTACCAACAGCTAAAGCAACCTGCTGATACACTGGGCACCTCTTTCAGGACCCTGTTGTGGGGCCATGTTTATATACAATGACTGCTCCCCTCCCCTCCCCCACACACCAGTTGATTGGACCAGGGTTGATCTTCTGATCCAAAGAGGCCCAGGAATATGCTTTATCCTAAAAATTTTACAAGGGGAAGAAGTTCCAGTCTCTGGGGTGATAGTGCACACAGGGCACTTACAAGTCAGGAACCCTGAGCCGGTGCCATATGGACAAGCAGAAAATAGAGACATGAGAGCACGTGGGAGAGAGAGCAGCTGCCTTGTAGCCAGCAGGCCAGTGAAGTTTTCCTGCATCCTTGCCATGGACTGCATCAATCCCTCAGGTATCCTTAGAATGCATTTTGACCTTAAAAAAAATCAATCTGAAGTGAATTTTTCTTACACAGAACCAAAAGGACCTTGACTAAAATACTACCAGGTAGTTCTAATCACTAACAATTGTGTGTGCTCAGCATGTTTGCAAAATACCACTAAATTCTGGGGAATTTTTCTTCAGCAAACCTTTCTTGGTCATTTTGTGTATTCTCTTAAAGTGTAATCCTAAACTCACAGAACTGAAAGACACTCCCTTATTTTTCCAGGGAGAAGCTACTCATGCCTGGAAAAGGGCAGGGCTTGCTTTGCCTGTTGTGGGACCGTCACCTAGACCAGAGTCTTTGGACACTTCCCAAACATCCTTCTGAAAGATAAACTCCGTTTCCTCTTTAGCACCAATGGACAATAAAACCCAGAAATACAGGGCATAAAATAGTGCCCATTTAGTGAGTAGTTAATAAAAGCTTCAAATGAGGGAGGGCAGTGATTATCACAGAATTTGTGAGCGCTGACCACTTGGTACTGGGCACAGAGTCTGGCCTTTGGCTGGAGCCGGACGTGGGGGTAAATCCCAGCAGCATGTTCAGGGTTACAGCTTAGGAGCCTGACTGAATAGCTGCTCTATGGGGCCATCTGCTGAGGAGGCCTCTGCTTAGGCTCAGAGTAGGGAGCTGTGTCCTGCACGGATTGGGGGGAGGGGGGGGGTGGCAAGGAAATGGCTGGCAGGGCATTGAGGGACCCTTGAGAGCAAGGGCCTAGAGGATGTCCCTATGCTTGGAGGGAAGCCTGCCTGATGCCTGTCACTCAGGGTTGGACCTCCTGTCTTCAGGTTCACGCCACCAGATGTCTCCTCATCTGCTCCCTCCACCCAGCCTGCTCTGGCTGGCGAATCACCCTGGGCACAACAGGGCAGTGTCGGGGCTCTCAGCTGCCCCCTGGGGATTGCTCGTGAGCCCAGGCAGAGCAACTGGGCCTCAGCGGTGGGCAGGCAGGTGCCAGGAAAGAGTGGCTTGTGTTCAGCCAGAGGGAACTTGTATTTGCCAAGGAGCTAGTGAAGGTTGTGGTGGTAGCATTTCCTGACACCTGGGTCCATGATAAGTGGCTTTCCAGCTCACTCCAAAGTGGGTCACTCCAAAATGACCTGAGCTGACCTCTCCCTCCATCCCAATGAGAACCCACACGCTGGCACCTTGTGGGCCAGCGGGAGCTGGGCCTCTAGATCAGGTGTAGCTCCGCCCTGGGCCCATGGACCCCTCATCTTACCAAAGAGCCCTTTGTTTTTTTAACAACAGAGCTGCCGGTCACCCACACAGAAGTACTTTAATGCCTACAAAGTGTTGACAGTGTAGGGACACAGAGTAGGGTGAAACCCTCTGGGCCAATGGAGCTTCCACTCCAACAAGGAGACAGGTGAGAAGTGCATCTGAAGCAGGTGCTGGGGTTTTAGAGCCAGGACGGCCCTTTGAGCTGATGATTTAACCCCGCTTCCTCCCAGACCCCTAGCAGAGGTCATCAGGGTTCATGACCTCACCCCTCCCACTCTTTGAACCCCATTCCCAGCCCCCAGAGGGCTGGCTATGTGCAACTCTGTTCCCTCATCGCCACTGTTTCTCAAGTGTTGAGCACCTGGCTTAACAGCAAGGGGTCAGGCACCTTAACCCCTGGGGCCCCCCAGGCTAGGCCCTGTTAGGGTGGACCTAGGAGCAG